ATTGCAACAGGCAGGTCTGAAGCTAAAGGCTAAAAAGTGTAACCTTTTTGCTGAGAAGGTGTCAAACCTTGGGCATATCATATCAAAGGAGGGTATATCTACTGATCCTGAAAAGATAAGAGTAGTTGCGGAATGGCCAGTTCCAAGTAATATATCAGAGGTTCGATCTTTCTTGGGACTTTGCAGCTACTACAGGCGTTTTATTCGAGACTTTGCATCAATAGCTAAACCCCTGCATAGACTAACTGAACAGGGTAGGAAGTTCCAATGGACAAAAGAAACGCAAGAAGCATTTGAGATATTGCGCAGTAGATTAATCAGTGCGCCAATATTAGCATTACCTCATTTAAGCAAGCAGTTCATCCTTGACACTGATGCAATTGGAACGTCAATAGGCGCTGCGCAGCACAGTTAAGGCTGCAGTAAGGGGGCGGGGCCTAATTTATACGGGAAATGCTTACTATGACATCACACAAAAATATAAGTTCTTCAAATTACCACAAAATGAAATGATTTGCTATTTTAAACTTTTGAATAGCTTTAAACTACATCAGTACTAACTAGTACATGCATCATTGTCTTTGGTTAAATCCCACACAGCAATATATAAACAATTCACTGATCGCAATGCACTTGTCAATGTGACGTCATCGGAAAATTTGACGCAGTTTGTATGCAGTGAGAGGCGGATCAAGATACATTTGTACAATGAAAAATGTATTTTGTAATTAAATAAAATATAAATTGTAGATATATAAGAGGCCATTAACTTGGATGCGATGTCTGTTTTATGATTTTATTCATATACTTCCCGTACATTCCCTAGACAAGTGATACTGTCGTATATTTGTATGCAGATTCATTGAACGGTAATAGGAGTGTCGTAATAAATAGACATATTGCAAGGGCATAGCCTCAATGAATTATGACAAGCTTTTACACATAAACTCAAGAAGAAAAGTGCTGCGAACCTGTTGAAATCTTGCAAATGAATTAATTATATCTATATTTAATGTACTTGACCAGCAAAATATTCAACATACGGTCTAACAAATGTAATTTTAGCAATTAGATAGTTGAATCTATATAGGTTCGCAGCACTTTTCAAAAACTACAAAGAGTGTTGAAAATAATTATAAATTAAACTTTGATTTTTAACTTGTTTATGCCCTTGCAATATTAGAATTTATAGATGACCTCAATACTTCAGGTATATTTGCTAAAATCACGTGACTGCCACATCACGTGACAAGTCTTAATAAGAAATCTAATCGTCCTCAACATTTAGTTTTCAACCACATTGCATTTGTCCGATAATTGTAAAGTCCTAAAAAGAAATACCCATCCTTGTAAAGAATGTATTTTCTATCTAAAAAAATCGCCGATATTTCCATTTGGCTGCGTGTGCTATCGCAGATAATAGATGACAAAGAGCGCGTGATAGCCTATGCAAGCAGAACTCTGACGAAAACAGAAAGGCGATACTGCGTCACAAGAAGAGAGTTGTTGGCTGTTGTTCATGTTATGAAATATTTCCGTCATTACCTTTATGGTTCTCATTTTCTTGTCAGAACAGACCACGGTTCACTGAAGTGGCTTTTACGATTTAAGAATCCAGAAGGGCAGATGGCGAGGTGGCTAGAAGTGATAAGTACTTACGATTTCAAGATTGAACACAGGCCAGGTCGAAAACATGGAAATGCAGACGCTCTCAACAGGATACCTTGTCCTCAGTGTGGATTTTATGTAGAAGAGGTAAAAGAGCACGAAGTGCGTACTGTGAGCACGAAACAATGCCCAATCGAAGAAAATGACCTTACCTTGAGAGAGGCACAGTCTGAGAATAAAGAAATTCAGTTGGTGCGTTCTTGGTTAGAAAAGGGTGAGAGGCCTACTCTTTCAAATGTAACTCCGCAAGGATTTGTGGTAAAATCCCTATGGAATCAGTTTGATAGATTATGCCTTAAAGAAAGACAATTAGTGAGAAAGTGGGTACTGCTCCCCCCAGGAAAAGAAATTTACCAGGCTATTATATCAGATGAAGAGCGCAGGAAAGTACTCAAAATGTGCCATGACAATCATACAGCAGGACACTTAGGAGTGACCAAGACATTGGCCAAAATAAGGCAAAAATATTACTGGCCAGGTCTTCAAAAAGACGTTCATCAGTATATATCTGGTTGTGAAAAGTGTACTAAGCGAAAAAATCCAAATCCTAAGCAAAGAGCTCCTATGCAAGTTGTTGGGTCCGGTACTCCCATGGAGAGAATTGCGACAGATATATTGTGCGAGTTGCCAGAGACAGACAGAGGGAATCGCCATATACTGGTAGTGTCCGATTACTTCATGAAGTGGACAGAGGCATTCGCTCTACCAGTTATGGAAGCCGAGACTGTAGCACGCACAATAATGGAACAAGTGATTGCTAGATTTGGCGTACCTTCAATCATACATTCTAATCAAGGTCGCCAATACGAGAGCAAACTGTTTTCGGAAATGTGTCGGTTACTAGGAATTAAGAAAACCCGTACCACTCCCTATCATCCTAAATCAGATGGGATGGTGGAGCGATTTAACCGGACATTGCTCTCAATGCTTAGTACCTATGTTGAAGAAAACCATCGTGATTGGGATCTTTATCTCCCTTACATATTGATGGCTTACAGATACACAGTGCATGAGACAACAAACTTTTCTCCAAACATGTTGATGCTAGGACGGGAAGCAACCACTCCATTAGACCTGATGTACGAGATGCCACCGGATATCAAAGATATACCTTCTAATCGATGGGTCTGGATTCTGCGTGAACGGTTGGAAACTGCGCACAAAATCGTTAGAGAGCATATTGAAAGAGAAATGCTTCGCCAGAAAAGATACCATGATACAAAGGTAGCATGGTCTTCTTTTGAGCCCGGAGAAAAAGTCTTTGTGTATTTTCCGATAAGAAAAAGTGGCTGCTCTCCAAAACTTGCATCATTTTGGAGAGGTCCTTACTCAGTTGAAAGGAAATTGTCTAATTTTCTTTACGCAAGAGCAGTGTAATTCATTGCGATCGCATGCGAAAGTGCAGATCTCAAATATTGAGATGTGAAGAGAAAGAGTTTTCTGAGGATGAGCAAGAGATCCAGAATGAAACAGAAAACTACATAGCCCTTGATAGTGGTAATGGGCAAATTGCAGACAATGAAGAATATGCAAATGCGAGCGCTGACTTCAATAGCAGGCCAACGCGCACGAGACGCTTACCTGCTTGGCATGATGATTTTGTTGTAGATTACAAAATTTAGAGCATGCGACTTGTTGTACATATTGTAAATAGTAATTGCCTGATTTTAGGAGATGAACATATATATATGAGATTTCAGTTTTGTTCTTTGAGATTTAAGAGGAATGCGAGACGCATTTCCTGGAGGCATGGGTAAATGAAGCGAAGTTTTAATCAAGATCGAATTATCCCTACGATTCTCGGAAGTTGCATTGTGTTAACTTCTGTTTCTTTGTGTTGTTACCTTCGGTCCTCAGTAGGTCACGTGACCTAAAAGGTATATATATATATATATATATATATATATATATATATATATATATATATATATATATATATATATATATATATATATATATATAGAGGCAGTCGGGTTGACTAGGCAGTTGGTTGACGGCGGCTGATGTGTGAAGACCGTCCAGAACAGAAGCCAAACGTGGTAGGTACTGTGTTTAATACCTGAAGAAAGTCTTACGTGCCTGCAATAGGCTTTCGGGACTTTGTTAGTGTATATAGAATTATATATACTGTATAACACGGTTTGGCTGTAGGTCAGAAGCGAATGCGCTTCAAGCCTTGGAAGGCGCGTGCGCTCCCGAGAGAAGACAGGGATATTTGTAAATATTGCTAATTCAGATCTGTGATTGAGATCTTTAAATTAACTTAATTATATTGTTCAGATAGAACAGCCGAATCCCATAAATGAACCCGGAAACGTTACAATAACAATTAGTCCAGTATATCTGTCAGCTTAGGTTGAAACTCAATATTGACGAGTTTTGTTTGATAAGTTTTTCCAGATGACTGGTATTGTCTACGGGCATCTTGTTTAGGTGTCAAATCTTTAATTGATGATCGTCTTGCGATGTCCATTTCCCTTCCGGTGATGTTTTCTTTTTTCAAGTTCGGGATCTTACATTGGGTATTGATCCTTTTTAATTAATGATTAATACGCATCGCTGCGATCACACACATTTTCATTTCTTCAAAGTCTTGAAAATAACATCAATGTACAATCAGTGGCGTGTTTTTGGTGCTTAAAACGTCTTTGTGCAAGATTTACTTCAGTGTAACTTTTCTAGACTTGAAGCTTCAGGAGAAATGTGCGACAGATAATACAATTTAGACGATGGATGAATTGTCCCTTCAGAGACTTTTGGATGTCATAAAATGTACTGAACTGAGTTATAGATTGTTTTGAACCCTTATAAGAACAAATGTATGCACTGGTTTACGGAAATTGTCGAGACGTATAACCCACTATAATAATTAGCTGTTCATTCTGTCGACTATGCGTGTAACTTCATCTAAAATCGTCAAATATCATTTCTAACTTGATATCTGCAATGCTTTGAGCACATTGAAGTTGTTCAATAAGAAAAAGATCTGTATTCGACACGTTTCAAAAATTCAATCAATCATAGTGGACTCTAATGTATGAGTATATATTGTTAAGACGCCCTCGTTTATTGGATTTCTGAAAATCCAATGAAAACATTGTCGAGCTGCAAACATAATGACTTGTCACAGTTTGGCATTTGTTTGTTAAAGATGTAGATAAAACCAAACGCTTCACAATAACATTCACTAACCCCTAACTACTTCAAATCATTCAATCGATGAAGGAACACTTTTGTCTCAAAAGACTAATTTTGTAGAGCGTTTCATTAAATCGCGTATGCCTGATATTTGTGCGCAAAAAAAGGGGGAAAACTTGCCAGATTGACTTAATATGAATTTTACAGTTTATTTTAAAAACCGTTCCACAGCATACAATGACTATGACGCAGAAATTTACTACCCATTAGTAAAGCATCCTCTGCATGTTATATTAATCTTGTCGTTTGCCTACGGATTAGCATTTCTTTCGGCTGTTGTCGGAAACTGCTTTGTGATTGCTGTTGTTCTAAAGTACCCGTGGATGAGGAATGTTACAAATTATTTTGTAGTTAACTTGGCCGTAGCTGACATCTTAGTTGCTATATTTTGCCTTCCATTTACTCTTTTGGATAATATCTTCTCAGGTGAGTCAAAATATTTTATAAAAATGTACGTGTTTATTAGTAAATATTAAAAATGGATGTTCTTAAAAACCCTATTGATAACAAAGTGCACTAAATATCTCTCTAAACACGGAAACTTGAAAACATTCAACAGGCAAATCTTTTACTTGAGGAATGTATGAACATATGAACACGGTAAAATTAGCTACATGTATTTTCATAAATTTTGGTATGAAAGAAACTCTTAATTTACTCAAATGTGCTCAAAAATAAAAGCACCCATAATACTCTATGCTCAAATATGAAAGCACCTCGGATACATTTAAAGGTCTTGTGGCTAATAATGAGAAAACTTTAATTAAAGCTGAGGGTTATAATCAAGAAAAGCTATGTATTTTTGCATTTTTGTGTGAAATTCTATAGACATATGTCGATCCACCGATAAATATTGTAAATTACAATTTAATTGCAAGAATTTTTAATCATACATCTATAGAAAGAGAAATAGAGAGAATGTATTATGTGCAATTTTTAATGTGGAAGATCGAGGTTAAATACATGTAATATAAATAATAAAATCATTGAAATAACCGATATAAGTTATAATCAACAATTTCATTTTTCTTTTTATTTTTTAATTACATAAATTTTTAATTACATAAATTTTATTTTTGCAGCGTAATATTGTTGACATTGATATACGCGGTTAAGTTATTTAATAAAAGAAGTGAAAGGAGGCTAAAAAAACACACCAAAGTAAGGTATAAACTAGTATTAATTGTAACGGGGACCGTTACAGATGTTCCCCAAACGCTCCCCAACTCCCTTTTGGTGTCTTATTTCTTGTAAGCTTCATTAAATAAGGCAATTAAGTATATTGGTCATTTAACGCATTTCACGCGCGCGCACGTGCATGCATGTGCAGGTTGACAATGTCATTCCGTCTATACTATAAATGCATCTTTATATTCTCAGTATCAAAACATTTCATCAAAAAATATATAAGTTCCGGCTATATCAAGTATATTGGTCATCTTAGCATTGCGCGCATGCGCACCTGTATGCATGTTCATAATGACCATGCCATTTTGTCTACACTTATAATATGTCTGTTTGTTCTTAGTATCAAAGCTTTTCATCAAAAAATATAAAAGTTACGGCTATATTAAGTATATTGGTCATTAAACACATTGCACGCGCGCGCATGTGCATGCATGTGCATGATGGCCACATCATCTTGTCTACACTTTTAATATATCTGTATATTTTTAATATCAAAGCTTTTCATCAAAAAATATAAAAAGTACGGCTATATTAAGTAAATTGGTCATTTAACACATTGCACGCGCGCGCACGTGCATGCATATGCATGCATGTGCATGATGATCATGTCGTCTTGTCTACACTTTAAATACATATAAATATTTTGAGTATCAAAGCATTTCATCAAAAAGTTTCAAAGTTACAACTATATCAAGTAAATTGGTCATTTTACGCTTTGCGCGTGCGCGCACGTGCATGCATGTGCATGTTGACCATGTCATCTTGTTCATACTTTTAATATATCCTTATATTCTGAGTATCAAAGCATTTTATCAAAAAATTTAAAAGTTACAGCTATTTCAAGTATATTGGTCATTTTACGCATTGCACGCGCACGCACGTGCATGCGCGTACGCGCAAAATGACCTTCGTTCCGCAAATCTACATAACATGCCTAGTAACCCTAAAAAGGTTTCACCTCAATCGGATGTGTAGTTTCGGAGATCACTCACGGACAAAAAAGTACCCAGGAAGAAAAATAATAATAATAATAATAATAAGAAACAGAGTAAAAACAATATGTTCCCAAACTTCGTTTGGGGAACATAATTAACTTCCAAGTTTTTTTTATTAAATGTGTTTTTTCAACATGTTAGTTAAGGGTCCGGGAGGAATCACACAACAAGCTCATTAACTCGAATCCAATTACAATCCATGGGATATCCTGTAAGATATATGTAAATTGATAGACTCTGTTTGTGTTACATGTTCTCCTGACTAAAAATATGGAGGAATGTTCAAGACTTTAAAAACAGATGGTGTTGAAATGAAACTTTGACATGTTATTATAATACCTGTTCAGTTTGAATATATATTTAATTGCTGTGGTAAAATTTAGAAATTTTTTTCAAAATTAAGGATTATCTTCCTCATGCATAGCTCTGATCCTTCGACATAATTGGCTTCAGTCTTTGGCACCCTTTTTTTCAGCATTTCAAAGATTTTTTAAAAATGTTTTTTTTATTTAAGGACGACGGATCTAACTCAAAATTTCATGCCACTGCGCAGAAAACCTCGCATATGCCTTGAATCAAATTGACTTTATTATGTATTGCAAAAGATAAAAAATATACATTTTAAATTCTAAAAAAATTAAAGATATTCAAACTCCTCTCAATTCAAAATATTGTAAATATTTCGATTTATATTCATAAATAAATGATTTATTTGGCCAAGATATTTTCATTGAAAATTTCCCCCAAAATGTGCCCTACACCTGAGTTTGACATGCCCCCCTGAAAAATCGAAGCCGATGACCCATTTATTTTTTGGCATAATTATAATTTGCTGTTAAATTGTCTTGTTAATATTGTCCTTTAATATGAATAAAAATTCTATGGCAGAATTTTTTCAATGATCACTCTTATACCCTACACTGGCAATTTCCCATTACTTCCTATAGTAATTATCGATTTCCATTGCCAACTTTTGAAACCGCTCCCAATTAAAAATCTACATCGATGACCATATGATTTTTTTTATTGATTTTAACTCACCAAAAGTCACATTACCTCATATTAAAATAAAAAATCTATTGTAGAAATTAATTAGGTCCGTCGTCGTTAAATATTTTGGATTTCCAACGTTTCGGCATGAGCATCACTGAAGAGGCAAAATTTGTCCAAAACCGCATCTGGTGCATCAAAATTTGTACCGTGTATGAAAATATCAATTTCCAATCCATCCAAGTTGCACCGTATAAGATTAACATGTATGAAAATATCAATTTCCAATCCATCCATTTTCGTTCCTGAGCTATAATTCTTTGCCTAAAAGTGTACTTTGAGACCATTTTTTTGCTTGTGATGCGAGAGAGCTTGTCCTTGGCTCAAGAGTTCTTGAACAACGGCAAAGATACCAAATGAAAAAGGTGAGAATAACTAATAGTGATCTATCTTCAAAATCCTTTTAAAAACAGGGCAAAAACACAGACCCCTGGAAACACCAGAGGTGGGATCAGATGCCTAGGAGAAGTCAGTATCGCCTAATGATCTATCATTCTCGCCGTCAATTTTTCATCCGTATTTATCAGGCTAACAGAGTAATCCTTACGCTAAATTAATAGTACACAAATAATGGTCTCGCATATGGTATAGAACATGCCAGTCCAAATACGACCCATCGATAGGCTGTATATGCAAACGACTTGATCATGCTTCGATTAATATATATATATATATATATCCAAACAGTAGATTTTTGTTTTATGCTATGTATAGTCTTGTCGTAAAAAATTAATTCAATCGGATTTTTTATACAGAGAGTGAAAAAAGCTAATTTAAAATCATTCGTTATTTTTTAATTTATGCAATAACGATTTTAAGCATTTTTTTCATGTGTATTACGCAATGTTCTCTAGAGGAAAAACACCTCCAACAATCATATGGAAACTAGAATAAACAGTGCTCAAGGCGGATTTGACACATCAACAATGCTTACTCCTCCTAGGCACCTGATCCCACCTCTGAAATTTCCAGTGTCCGTGTTTATACCCTGTTCACATACTTGTATTGTTTTTATATATTTCACTGTTCCTTATCCATCTTTTTATGAACTTTTGGTGCTTTTCTGTGATATTTGCAATCGAGATACTTGAAAGGTTCTTACTCTATATGGACTGAATGATTGGAAATCAAACTTAAGACTTTTTTCAAAGAGTTTTGGGTTTAAATTGGATTAGAGTTTCCGCAGTGGACACATATTCCTATCGAAACGGAAACGTTTGGATATGGAAAGGAAATTAAAAGAAAAGATGCAAACCTCATATGGTTTTGAATATTTTGTCCCGAGTTCTATCTATTTAAAGCAAAAGCGTTATAGTTTTCTGAAGATGTATGGATTTTTTTACGCAAGGACTTTTATTTCGAAAAGTTAACGTGAAGTTTGATAAAGATGTCTTGAAGATACCACACTATTACTAACTTATGAAACTGAAATATTGGTTTATGGGATTGATCGTAACAAAGTCTTTGATTTCAAAATATAAGTACTCATACAATTTCGGAAATGAATTCGTTGCAGACAATTAAATGGCGTCATAACAAAAGACACGGCTCAGCTAGACATATACTGAAAAATGGAATTTATTCTGCTCATTTGCATATCGGCCATATTTGAACTAAATTTGTGGCAGATTCCAAAAAGATTTACATGTATATAGAAAAATTGTAAAAAATTGCAATTTTTCCTATACTATTTCTAATAAAGTTCTTCCGCCGACGGTTTGATTTTTTTCTTAACATCTTCTACCGGAAAGGACAAAATTGTTGATACGAAAGTTGCGACCACTTTTTTGAAAAATTTGAAGCGAGAGTATATTTTTTTAAGAAAAAGATAGTAGGTTTATTCGTCATATCATTATATAGAAATAAAAATCACAGAGGTATAATAATTTTGCTATCCATCCTTCAGAAATTTTCATTTAACTTTTGACACCAATTTTGATTTTCTGCATAATGTTTGGTAGTCGACTTTTCCAACACTAAAGAGTTCCATAAAACTAAAATCCGAGGTATAAAATGTGCCATCCAACCCTCATAGTTTATAATAGACATCAATATAGTAAAACGCTTATTCACTGGCTGCGAGTCGGTTAGTTTTTTTTTTTTATCAAACCCTTCACAGAAACTATTCCCCTCGAGGAGTAGTTGTGAAAATAGCTCTCCCACTTACAGCCAGTGAATAAATGTAAAAGCTTT